TATGATTATTATCATAATTATTATCATTATTATTATCAATGATAATAATAAAAAACGAGTTCCTAACTACAGACAACCTAACTTTGACGCAAAAAACACTTACGTGAAACGGTACTGTGTGGCTGTTCCATCATTTGCCTGAACAGGAGTACACACGTGGAACATTTGGCAGTTGCTGTCAAGATCTGCGTAATATCCTTGGCCGAAAGAGGAGCAACTGTAACGATTGATGGAGATAAAAGGTGAAAATACGTAGATAAGAAGTGGATAAGTGCACAAAAAAACAGACTAACATACACACATCATGAGGTTCACAAGGATTTTCAATATCTGCGTCTGTCGTCAGCAACTGGACAATCTCTAATTACTTATAAATTATTCTATTGACATAAAGGGTATGGCAGCCAATATCCTAAAATTTGGCTCATAAAAGACGCATCCAAATCAGACATGCATGAATAGATATGACATGCACACACATTTTTCTCATACTCACGTGAACGTAGAGGAAATCTGTCCCTCGGCAAGACTGGATGAAACGGGGACAAAGAACGACTTGAAGACGCCCAAAATTCTATCTCCGGCTTCGGTCTCGATGTGCCCGGCGATTTCCCTCATCTGGAAAAGATGAATCAGAATGAAACCGTAATACTGCAGAATTCATTGTAATTTCCTTCGCCCTGATTATTTTTCTTTGACCTTTTTGACCAATGTCACACATGGGAAAAATAAATCTTGATCCTACCTGGGAAGTCTGGAACTGGTTATTTGACTGGAAATTCGATCCACGTTGGTCTAGACTGGTAGTGAAAGTGGAGATGCCTTGGTTCTGGAAATTCTGCTGCTGCCTTTGGTCTCCAGTGATCTGGAAAGCGTTCTGGTTGCCCTGGAAAGTGGTGCGTCCAATGTTTTGATTGTTTTGGAGGTTGGAAGAACCAAAGCTTCCTTCGTTTTGGAAACTGTTAGATCCAAGATTTTGATTATTTTGGAAGCTGGAAGAACCAAAATTCTGGTTGTTTTGGAAGCTGGTAGATCCTTGATTCTGATTGCTCTGGAAATTTGAGGAATCAAAGGTCTGTGCATTCCGGAAAGTGGTAGAACTCAAGTCCTGGTTACCCTGGAAAGTGGTAGATCCGAGGTTCTGGTTCTGGAAAGTGGTGGATGTTCTGGTAAAAGTGGTGGATCCGAGGTTCTGGTTCTGGAAAGTGGTGGATCCGAGGTTCTGGTTCTGGAAAGTGGTAGATCCGAGATTCTGGTTGTTTTGGAACCTAGAACTGCTACCAAAACTGCCTTGGTTCTGCCCAGCCTGGAAGATGGAAGTTCCTTGATTCTGGCTGGACTGGAGAGATGAAACTCCTTGACTGACCTGGAAAGGCCTTCGCTGATTCTGATTCACCTGGACATTAGAATTTCCTTGTTTCTGGTTGGACTGGAAAAATGCAGTTCCTCTATTTTGGCTGGACTGGAAGGTACTTCCAGAGCTTCCTCTGTTCTGATTAGACTGGAATGCAGAGCTGCCTCTGTTCTGGCTGGACTGGAAAGCAGAACTGCCTCTGTTCTGACTGGACTGGAAAGCAGAACTGCCTCTGTTCTGGCCAGACTGGAAGGAACTTTCTCTGTTCTGGCTAGACTGGAAACTGGAGCTTCCACGGTTAGTCTGGAAGCCGGATGATCCACGGCTGGCTGGAAGTTCAATTCTCTTCACATCCACAAGGTTGGGATTTGAGAAACGGTAATTGTTGAAACTGTATTGAACTCGGCCAGCATTGTTGCTGCTAGAATACTGTGTCTGCCTGTTGTTTTGGCTAGAGAACTGATTTGCAATGTTTCTTTGCCCATTGGAGAAAGTGGAACTCTGTTGGGTGTTTGGGAATTTGGATCCTCTTTGACTGCTAAAGACGTTGGAGTCTTGTTGACTGGTGGAGAAGCTAGAACTCTGCTGAGAGTTGGGGAAACTGGATCCACGTTGATTATTGGAGATGCCAGACCTTCGTTGACTGCTGAAGAAACTAGACCCCTGTTGAGTGCTTGGGAAACTGGATCCAGTTTGACTGCTGACAAAACTGGATTGCCTATTGCCGGAACTAGATCCTTGCTGACCACTAGAAAAGCTAGAGCTTTGCTGAGAGCCAGGGAAGCTAGTGCTGAAAGAGCTGGACCCCTGTCGGCTGCTTGGGAAACTGGATCTTTGTTGATTACTGAAGGAAGTAGATCCTCTCTGACTGCTTGAGAAAGAGACTGACCTGCTGACTGCTTGGGAAACTAGTTCCTTGCTGAGCACTTAGGAAGCTAGACCTCTGCTGAGAGTTTGGGAAACTAGCTCCCTGTTGGTTGCCTGAGAAACCAAGACCTTGCTGACTGTTGGAGAAAGAGGAGCTCTGCTGGCCTCTTTGGAAGCTGGAGCCCTGTTGGCTGCTGGAGAAAGACTGCTGCCCACTAGAAAGACCTGAACTCAGCTGACTGTTTGAGAAGGTTCCTTGATTGTCTTCATACTTGATCT